GGACTGGACGCACGAGCAAGGTCAGACGGAGGGTCAGCAACGTCAGGCAAAGAGGACGCTGGAGGTAACGGTAGGACAACACGCTGAGGAACAGAGGAAGGACGGAGTGTCATATCGTGAGTGCCGGGGACAGCCGGAGCACGCTGACGACGAACACGAGGAACACGAGCACGGACAGCAGCTCTAGGCTCAGGCTCAAGGTCAAAGCTAGACTCAGGCTCTCGACGCTCAGGGGTGGAAGCACGAGTCTCAGGCTCTCGACGCTCAGTCAGGGACTCTGACACCGCAGTGTAAGGAGCAGGAGCAGGCAGTGGGGAGTGTGGTAGCAGCGGCGGCTGTGACTGGTCCGCCGGTGGACACAGCAACGGAGGAGTAGTACCTGCCACAGGGAAGCCAGTAGCACCTGGCTGAAGACTGAGAAGGTGGCGAAGAGCACCAGTAGCTCCACCAGGACCTCCAGCACCTCCAGGACCTCCAGTCCCAGCAGCTCCAGCTCCTCCAGCACCAGCAGCTCCAGCAGCTCCACGACCTCCAGCACCAGCAGTACCTCCAGTACCTCCAGCACCAGCAGCTCCACGACCTCCAGCACCAGCAGCACCTCCAGTACCTCCAGCACCAGCAGCTCCACCAGAACCAGCAGCACCTGCAGCTCCCCGACCTCCAGCACCAGCAGCACCTCCAGTACCTCCAGCACCTCCAGGACCTCCAGCACCAGCAGCACCTCCAGGACCTCCAGAACCAGCATTACCTCCAGTACCTCGCGCACCAGTAGCTCCAGGTCCTCCGGTAGGAGCTCCGACGACACCAACACCAGAAGGACTCGCAGCACCCCCAGAGTCAGCACCCGAACTCGTAGTACCCCCAGAGGCAGGACCCTCGGTCTCAGCACTCGCAGGCTCAGTACCCTCAGTCGCAGCACCCTCAGGTCCAGTACCCTCAGTCCCAGCACCCCCAGGCTCAGTACCCTCAGTCCCAGCACCCCCAGGCTCAGTACCCTCAGTCCCAGCACCCCCAGGCTCAGTACCCTCAGTCTCTGCTCCAGTGTCCACAGCAGCAGGCTGCAGAGGCGGCGAAGACGGCAGAGGTGGGAACCCGGGGGGTGTAGCCAGACAAGGAGAGCGGGCACCCCCGGACTCACCACCCCCAGCCCCAGCTCCAGTAGTCTCAGCTCCAGAGTCCACAGCAGCAGGCTGCGGAGGCGGCGAAGACGGCCGTGGCGGGAAACCCGGGGGGGTCTCCAAGCGAGGAGTGCGGCGAGTGGTCGCCGTGTCGTCGGCGACGGCGTCACCCCCCTCAGGTGAGTCAGAGGAGTCAGAAGAGATCTCAACTGGCTCATCCAAGGGGGGTGGGTCTACCTGGGACACACCTGAGGGAGCAGGACCCTGTGGGGGAAGGGGGTCTACCGGGGGGGGGACTGGTACCAGGAAGAGAGGCGCGAGAGGGACCGGGTGGGACGCGTGCGGGTGAAGTCGGTAGTAACAGACCGACTCGTCGAAGGTGACGTCCTGAGAGGACAGAACACGACGCGAGGCAGGGTGGTAGAACTGCCAGGGTGGAGCGTCGGTGGGGAAGCCGAGGAAGACACAGCGGAGAGTGCGAGGGGAGAGCTTGCTCGCTTTGGTATCGCGAACAAGGGAGAGCGCGCCCCAGACCCGAAACGACGACGCATCACCAGGCTGTCCCGTCCAACGGAGTGTGGGCGAGGTCTCTGGAGCAGAGACACGGGGCCAGAGGTTGAGCTGATGCGCGGCGTATCGGACCGCAAACGGCCACAGGAAATGGGGAGCAGCCGCATGGATCATGGAGGTACGAGCAACCTCCATGATCAGGCCAATGCGACGCTCAGCGATCCCATTTTGCTGCGGAGAGGCCGGAAGCGTGAACGACTGGGCGATGCCCTTATCCTGGCAGAACGTCTCAAGGACGCCAGAGGAGAACTCACTACCCTTGTCAGAGTGCAGACGCAGGACTGGAAAGTCCCGCCGAAACCGCTCGCGCAGCTGGTGACGAGTAGCACGGATCCAGGGGATCAAGACACCACTGACATCCGCCTTGCGCCGCAAGGGAAGACTTTGGTGTAGCGTGTGTAGTCGTCAACCACCAGCAGGAAGTAGCGCTCCTGGTCCGTTCCACCGACGGGGGCCGGGCCCCACACGTCCATGTGGAGAGTCTGCAGAGGAGCAGTGGTAGGAGGAAACTCGGAGGAGTGAGGAGCGGCGCGCTGCCGCCCCTCGACGCAAGGAAGGCACGGCGGCGCAAGTGAGCGCGGGAGGGGGGGCAGGGTCTCAGGGAGGCCAGTGACCAGGAGCCGGGAGTGCATGCGGCGCAGACGCTGCAGGGAGGGGTGACCAAGACGGTGGTGCCAGCGCTGAGTCTCGTGCGTGAGTACTCGGCACGAGCAAGACGCAGCTAACTGTCCTGACGCAGACGCTCGACTCGACGTAGCTACCTGACCTGACTCAGCCACCTGTGCAGACGCAGTGGTCAGTGTGTACAGACTAGACCCAGGCTGTCGAGTGAACGTAGCCAGGTGACGGCCAGTCCGGGAGCACGTACAGATCGCCACACGCTGCCCTCCAGGAATAAAGGTATCAACCCAGACATCCTGAATGGCAGCGTTGCTCACCAAGTTCGTCGAGAACGTGGGGAGGTGGAGACCTGACAAAGAGCCGGAGGGGACTGCTGGACAAGGGAGGACCGTGGAGGCTCTCGCAACCACTGGGCCCCCAGAGGGGTCAGCCAGTGAGACTGGGACAGGTGCTGTGAGTGGTGTGACTGTGGTGCAATCACGGAAGAAGCAACGTGACGCGCCGGAGTCAAGCGTGAAAGTGTGCAAGACCTCAGCTGAGGCAGGACCTGTGGTAGTAGACGCACTAGCAACTAGAGCGTCGGTAGACTCACGGGCACCTAGAGCTGCAGCAGACTCACTAACACCTGGAGTGGCAGCAGACTGACTAACACCTGGAGTGGCAGCAGACTCACTAACACCAAGAGCAGCGGTCTTAACAGAACGATAACCTCCACCACCAGGACGACCTCGCTGAATAACCCACTCACGAAGCTGCCGAGGGGTGGGGTCGTCCGGGAGAAGCAGTGCCCGCTGCTGTCCACCCCTGGCCGCAGCGACTGCCGCGGAAGTGGCCATGACAGACAGTGACTGTCAGGAGTAGGTCCAGCACCTCCAGCTCCTACAGCTCCAGCAGCACCTCCTACACTCCCAGCAGCACCTCCTCCACTCCCAGTAGCACAAGTAGCAGCAGCAGCAGTAGTAACAGCAGCAGGGCGGTTCGGTGGGGGTGGGAGGCCGCACCTCCACCACTCCCAGCAGTACTCCCTCCAGTAGCAGCAGTAGCAGGGCGGCTCGGGCAGCAGCAGCAGACCGAGCAGCAGTAGCAGCAGCAGTAGACCGAGTAGCACTAGCTATAGCAGTAGTAGTTGCAGTAGCAGCAGCAGTGACAGCTCGGGCTGGGCGGCGCGGCTCGGACACAGTGGCAGAGCAGCAGTAGCACTAGCTGTAGCAAGTGCAGTAGTAGGAGCTGCAGCAGTAGTACTAGCTGTAGCAGCAGTAGCTTCAGTCAAGCAGCAGTAGCTTCAGTCAGGAGCAGCTGTAGCAAGTGCTGGAGTAGGAGCTGCAGCAGTAGCACTAGCTGTAGCAAGTGAAGTAGTAGGAGCTGCAGCAGTAGTACTAGCTGTAGCAGCAGTAACTTCAGTCAGGAGCAGCTGCAGTAAGTGCTGGAGTAGGAGCTGCAGCAGTAGCACTAGCTGTAGCTGGAGTAGCTTCAGTCAATAGTAGCTGTAGCAAGTGTTGGAGTAGGAGCTGCAGCAGTAGCACTAGCTGTAGCAGCCGTAGCTTCAGTCAGTAGCAGCTGTAGCAAGTGTGGTAGTAGCAGCAGCAGCAGTAGCACTAGCTGTAGCAGCACTAGCTTCAGTAGCAGCACTAGCTTCGGTAGCAGCAGCAGTGAGTAGCGCTAGCTGTAGCAGCAGTAGCAAGGAGGAGCAGCTGCAGCAAGTAGCAGCAGCAGCAGCAAGGAGGAGCAGCTGCAGCAAGTAGCAGCAGCAGTTTCAGGGCAGTACAGGCGGCAGCAGCACTGCAGCAGCAGTTCAGGCGTAGCAGTGTAGCAGCAGCAGTGAGTGCAGCAGTAACACGGGCCGCGTGCGGGCCAGGCGCGGGCTGTAAGGGCTGCGTGCGGGCCTGGCGCGGGCTTTACGAGCTGGGTGCGGGCCTGACGTGGGCTGTACGGGCTGCGCGACGGCCTGGCGCAGGCTGTACGGGCTTCGCGACGGGCCTACGCGGGCTGTACGGGCTTCGCGACGGGCCTACGCGGGCTGTACGGGCTTCACGACGGGCCTACGCGGGCTGTACTGGCAGCTAAGGCGCGGTCAGGGGGGGTCGCACGTGACTAGGAAGGAAAATCGCGTCTAGGGCAGAAAAAGGAACCGTCTCGCCTAGAGCACGGTTTCGAATTTCGCGTTTCTCCTAGGGGCGCGACTCGGGCAGTAGATCGAAATAGTAGTGGTGGGCCCTTTTAAACATTCGGTCCTAAGGAGCATTGTGCTCTTAATACCATGTTAGAATCACTAGTAGCTAGGTGAGGAATGATGATTAGGTGAGGGAGAGGGGGTACAAGAGTGTCGAGAGAGTTGGGTTGTACCCTCTAAGGTGTGACCCTACACAACCTAGAGTAAGAACATAACAATATGTTTTGACAATTATGTGCATCACCGGAAGTTCAGATTCACTTTAAAGCCCGTAGCTAAAATAGTGACCCCCCCCTTCTAGTTGGGTCCATTTGAAGACACAAGTTTTTTTGGAACGTTTTGAGAGGTTGAAGTGCTATAAGTTTTGTTTTTACACCCCCAGTCGAGTCTCGATGTGAACAGGGAACATTTGGAACTTTTCTACAATTTTGATTGGCAGCGACTTTCACTCACTTGCCTGTGCGAATTTGGCGCAAGTTTTCAATGCTATGTCTTCAGACAAGGAGTTGTCAAACTTCACATCAAGCAACAACATTGGCAAAATCCAGCGCACGCACATATGCACGAGATGACAGTGGAACACCATAAAGGTTGTCCGACGAGCTAGCAGAGATGTGAAAAAAGTGTTTCTTTGGACTTGTAGTCGAGGCGATAGAATAGGGAGTTGAGAAAAAAAGAACGAACGGAAAAAAAAATGATGAACAAGGCGAGGAGGAACGACGGGATAGGAGGGGAGAGAGGCGAAACGACGGCATAGGAAGGGGAGAGAGGCGGAACGACGGGACGGGAGGGGAGGGAGACGGAACGACGGGATGGGAAGGGGAGAGGGGCGGAACGACGGAATGGGAGGGGAGAGAGACGGAACGACGGGATGGGAAGGGGAGAGAGCGGGAACGACGGGATGGGAAGGGGAGAGAGGAGGAACGACGGGATAGGAGGGGAGAGAGGCGAAACGACGGCATAGGAAGGGGAGAGAGGCGGAACGACGGGACGGGAGGGGAGGGAGACGGAACGACGGGATGGGAAGGGGAGAGGGGCGGAACGACGGAATGGGAGGGGAGAGAGACGGAACGACGGGATGGGAAGGGGAGAGAGCGGGAACGACGGGATGGGAAGGGGAGAGAGGAGGAACGACGGGATAGGAGGGGAGAGAGGCGAAACGACGGCATAGGAAGGGGAGAGAGGCGGAACGACGGGACGGGAGGGGAGGGAGACGGAACGACGGGATGGGAAGGGGAGAGGGGCGGAACGACGGAATGGGAGGGGAGAGAGACGGAACGACGGGATGGGAAGGGGAGAGAGCGGGAACGACGGGATGGGAAGGGGAGAGAGGAGGAACGACGGGATAGGAGGGGAGAGAGGCGAAACGACGGCATAGGAAGGGGAGAGAGGCGGAACGACGGGACGGGAGGGGAGGGAGACGGAACGACGGGATGGGAAGGGGAGAGGGGCGGAACGACGGAATGGGAGGGGAGAGAGACGGAACGACGGGATGGGAAGGGGAGAGAGCGGGAACGACGGGATGGGAAGGGGAGAGAGGAGGAACGACGGGATAGGAGGGGAGAGAGGCGAAACGACGGCATAGGAAGGGGAGAGAGGCGGAACGACGGGACGGGAGGGGAGGGAGACGGAACGACGGGATGGGAAGGGGAGAGGGGCGGAACGACGGAATGGGAGGGGAGAGAGACGGAACGACGGGATGGGAAGGGGAGAGAGCGGGAACGACGGGATGGGAAGGGGAGAGAGGAGGAACGACGGGACGGGCGAGGAGAGAGATAGAACGACGGGATGGGAGGACAGTGAGGAGGAATGACGGGATGGACGGGGAGAGAGGAGGAACGGTACGGGACGGGATGAGAATGTGCGAGCGCGAATGGTACGGGAGACGAGGAACGTGAGCGCGATGGCGAGGGGATGGGAGAAGGTGAGAGCGACGGGAAGGGATGGGAGAGAGCGAGATCGACGGGTAGGAATGGGAGAGGGCGAGAGCGACGGGAAGGGATGGGAGAGAGCGAGAGCAGCGGGAAGGGATGGGAGGGCTATTCGAAACGAGCGTGACGGCGCAGAGGTGGGTGATGGCAGGGGCGAGAGGAAGAGCGACGGGAGGGCGACTGGGCGAGAGCGCCACGGCAACGAGGTGGGTCATGGGAAAAGAGAGAGGAAGGACGGCGGTAGGGCTATACTAAACGAGCGGAACGGAAATGGCGTTGGAAGGGCGGTGCGATAGGAGATGAAGTGGGGAAGGAGAAAGGCGACGGGATGAAGAGTGCGAAGGCGATGGGAGGGAGAGTGGACAGGCGACGGGAAAGAAAGTGCGAAGGCCAAGGGAGGGAGGGCGGACAGGCGACGGGGGAGAGCGCGAAGGCGACGGGAGGGAGAGCGGACAGGCGACGGGAGGGGGAAGGGATATCGCGAGGGCGACGGGAAGGAACGAAGGAAAAAGGGGACAACGAAGGCAACGTGGGGGAAGGGAGATAGTGAGGGCGACGGGAAGGAAGAGGGGACATCGAAAGCGAGGGGCGGGAGAACGGGAAGGCGACGGGCTCGGAGGGAACTCGCGAGGGCGAAGGAACAAGAGGGGTGAACGGGAGAATAACCGGGAGGGGAGACCGTGACGACGACGGGAGGGCTGTCGCGTGTGCGTTTGCGAGGGCGACGGAAAGGCGACGGGACGGACTAGAGAGCGAGGCGTCGGCGGACCCCACCAGCAATGGCGAGACGGGAAACGGGCACTGCGCTACCAGGCCACGTAAACCTACATTTCACACTCTCGCTAAGTCGACAATTGACGCACTCGTCGGTAATTACGTGGCTATGACACGATCGCATGTGCTTTCAGCTCTACTACTTACTATGCTATGCGGAAACTAGTGATGAATGGAGTGACAGAAATCTAGTAATGCACCCACCCAGGCCCTCAGATATCAGCGTAAAACACGCTGATTAGGCTGATTTTGTAGCTGTGATTTTCGTTTTCCCTGAAATTTCAGTATATCCTTTATGTTTGCACTGATTTTTCAGTTTAACGTATAGGACTACCCTGACGAATTAGTGTATAGGTGTACCAGTTACACTGAAGCATCAGTATAGTGTACCGAGTCACACTGATTCGGACTTACCAAAATGTGTAGGACGGGAAGAATGAGCGCGTGCATGGTCTCCAGGACATGGATGAAACCCCATAACACTTCACAACTTCTCACATACGGGAATTGAACCCGTGATCTTTCCGGTAACAGGGAGAAACCCTTAGATAGCAGTACTGCTTATTTACTGAAGCTTAAAATGAGGACTGATATTTCAGTTAGCCATGAAATTTTACCCTGACAAAATCAGCATTTACTAAACCCCCAACGCTGACTTGGTCACGACGTTGGGCAGGGCACGCTGATCCATCAGCATACCCTGAAACCAATCTGAGGGCCCACCACCAGCTTGAAAATGAGGTTGGGCCTGCGATGGGAAACCATCGCCTGGGGTTTGTCGTGCGGATGCGGCACGCAAAAATGCGACGGCTGAAATGTGAAAAAAGGTTCATTTTGGCGGGAACCATTACGTTCCATTGTGGCGAGGGCCAATGACATGAGTTCACTCTGCCCATACAAATCGTTTGAAACAGTGTTTTTGAGACTGGTTTCATCCTCACATGCAACTCCTCATTCAAGTTGGGACAGGGGTCACTATTTTGCATGCGGGCTTTAAGCGAGGTAGCGGGTAGAGCTTGCGGGCTTTGCGGTCGCGCTCCAGGAGGAACTCCCTCTCTATGAGGCTCCATGTAGGGTACGGTACATGTGTCTTGGAGACTTCTGGAGTTGCTCTTGGGCGTAACATTAACCCCCATCCAAAAAGCCACTGTAGGCATCACGTAGAAGATAGGCATCAAGCGCGGTCCAGCTTGCGGTCGTTGCGGTCGCACTCCAGAAACTCCCTTTCTATGAGGCTCTCTATGCGCTTCTTGATTACACACCACCCAAGAACCACTATATAAGCGTCATAGTCTCATAGAAGATTCGTTTAGGCGAGGTAGCGGTAGAGCTTGCGGTCGTTGCGGTCGCGCTCCAGAAACTCCCTCTCTATCAGGCTCTCTATGCGCTTCTTGATGACTGCCGGGTTGGGCAGGAATCGCGCCTGCAGCTGCTTTGTCACCTCGCTGCAGAGTGGACACACAGGGGAGGCACAGAAGAAGAACAGTGGTTGCACAGGGGAAGCACAGAAGAAGCACAGAAGCAGCCAAACACTGCTGTCCCCTTTACAAGCTCACCTGGCAAGATTGTTGTGGTCCAGCATGCGCCGTGACTTCATGATGCGCACTATGGCTGCCTGTATTTGCAGCTCTTAACTCCTCCAACAAGCAGCCCAGCACTGCCGTACCCTTTATAAGCTCACCTGACAAGGTTGTTGTGGTCCAGCATGCGTCGCGACTTCATGATGCGAACAATTGCCGCCTCGATCTGCGGCTTCCTGTCCTCCTCCACCTTCTGCCTCGTCTCCGCCTTCTCCGGCTCTGTCTCCTTCTGAGCGGAAATGGTCCCGATCTTCACCTGCAGGTTGACAAAAGGGAGGCAAAGGGAAACCGATTGAGGAAGAGAGGAACAGATTGAGGCAGAGGGAAAGGGAAGCACAGCAGAAGCCTCTATCTGCGGCTTCCTGTCCTCCTCCACCTTCTGCCTCGTCTCCGCCTTCTTCGGCTCCGTCTCCTTCTGCGCTGAAATGGGTGTGCTCGGAAGGGTGTGCTCGGTCCCTTACCGAATATCCAGCTCCCTTTCCCCTCCACCCATCCTCCTGACTCACCTTGAAGAACTTGGAAGTAAACTTGTGGTTGAAGTGAAACGTATCATCATCCCCCACCTCCTTGCCCACCGGCTCCTTCCGCAGCACGTTCTTGCCTCGCACCAGCGACAGCGACTGCAGGTTGCACGACTGCTCTCCCCTGCACACTAGCGCCCCATCTCCGCCCTTTTCTCACCTTGAAGAACTTGGAAGTAAACTTGTGGTTGAAGTGGAACGTGTCGTCATCCCCCACCTCCTTGCCCACCGGCTCCTTCCTCAGCACATTCTTCCCTCGCACCAATGACAGCGACTGCAGGTTGCGCCGCAGGTCTGCCGAGGGGATATCTGTAGCAGCTTCTATGTCTCGATAGGTGAGGGAGTCGTGCGTGTTGAAGAGCATTAAAATGCACATCTGAGGTGGGGGAAAGGGGGAGGGGGGGACGGGCGGGAGGTTAAGGGGAGAGGAGGGGAGGGAGAGCACGCTCTTGCCTTGCCCACCGGCTCCTTCCTCAGCACATTCTTCCCTCGCACCAGCGACAGCGACTGCAGGTTGCGCCGCAGATCGGCCGAGGGGATATCTGTCGCTGCCTCGATATCTCGGTAGGTGAGCGAGTCGTGCGTGTTGAAAAGCATCAAAATGCACATCTGGTGAGGAGGGGGGGGGGAGGGGAGGAGGGGAGGAGGGGAGGGGAGGAAAGTTCTTGCCTGCCGCGCACCAGCGACAGCGACTGCAGGTTGCGGCGCAGATCGGCCAAGGGGATATCTGTCGCTGCCTCAATGTCGCGGTAGGTGAGCGAGTCGTGCGTATTAAACAGCATGAGGATGCAAATCTGGTTGGGGGGGGGGGGAAGGGGGGGGGAGGAGGGGGCTAAGTGGGGAGGAGGGGGGAGGAAAGTTCTTGCCTGCCGCGCACCAGCGACAGCGACTGCAGGTTGCGGCGCAGATCGGCCTGGGGAATATCTGTAGCAGCTTCGATGTCTCGATAGGTGAGGGAGTCGCGCGTATTAAACAGCATGAGGATGCAAATCTGGTTGGGGGGAGGGGAAGGGGGGGGAGAAGGGGGGAGAAGGGGGGAGAAGGGGGGAGGAACGTTCTTGCCGCGCACCAGCGACAGCGACTGCAGGTTGCGCCTGAGGTCGGGGTTGGGGGGAGGGGAAGGGGGGGGAGAAGGGGGGAGAAGGGGGGAGGAACGTTCTTGCTGCGCACCAGCGACAGCGACTGCAGGTTGCAGTGCAGGTCAGCCGAGGAAATGTAAGTGGCGGCCTCGATGTCTCGGTAGGTGAGGGAGTCGTGTGCGTTGAAGAGCATGAGGATGCACATCTGAGAGGGGGGGGAGAGGGGGAAGACAGAGAGCGCAGATTGGGCCTCAGGCTAGCTGTTGGAATGTCAGTGGCTGCCTCGATGTCGCGATAGGTGAGGGCGTCGTGCGTGTTGAAGAGCATGAGGATGCACATCTGAGAGGGGGGGAGGGGAGGGATTGAGAAAGGGAGGGACAGCACGTTTTTGCCGCGCACCAGCGACAGCGACTGCAGGTACGACAGTGAGTTTTGAGAATTCTCAAAAGTCACTCCAATATAAAGCGCACCAGCGACAGCGACTGCAGGTACGACAGTGAGGAGCCGCCCACCGACCTGGTACGTGGACACTAGCAGCTCGTATTTCAATCTCCACGAATCAAACAAGGTCGGTACCGCGCCCACCTGACTGATTACCAAAAACCCCACCCACCCACCTGGTAGGTCGACACGGACAGCTCGTATTTCCGCGACTCAAACGTGGCCTTCACGTCCGCATGCCCCATGTTCACAATAAGTCATTGCAAACCAACCCACCCGGTATGCCCCACCCACCTGGTACGTGGACACTAGCAGCTCATATTTCCACGAATCAAACAAGGTCGGTACCGCACCCACCTGACTGATTACCAAAAACCCCACCCACCCACCTGGTAGGTCGACACGGACAGCTCGTATTTCCGTGACTCAAACGTGGCCTTCACGTCCGCATGCCCCATGTTCACAATAAGTCATTGCAAACCAACCCACCCGGTATGCCCCACCCACCTGGTACGTTGACACGGGCCCAACCCACCTGGTAGGTGGACACCGACAGCTCGTATTTCCGTGACTCAAACGTGGCCTTCACGTCCGCATGCCCCATGTTCACAATAAGTCATTGCAAACCAACCCACCCGGTATGCCCCACCCACCTGGTACGTTGACACGGGCCCAACCCACCTGGTAGGTGGACACCGACAGCTCGTATTTCCGTGACTCAAACGTCGCCTTCACGTCCGCATGCCCCATGTTCATCTGCCACGTCAGCCGCCGCCCGGTGTGCGTCGTCAGGTAGTGCCTTGTGAACTTCTCACAGATGGGCAGGATCTCCCCGGGGAGGTTGCATCTGGCACCGGCCTGGGTGGGCCAAGACCCTGTAGTTAACACCTGGACGGATAGAGTCGGCCCTTGGAATAATCCACCCGCTGCCGCCCCTCCTGCTGCCGCCGATGCTGATGATGACGAGCCGGCTCCCGAGCCTGCTGCCGTGCCGGACGGTCTGGCGAGGGCAAGATCTGGTTCGGTGCGGAGCGCTGCTACTGCTGCTCCCCCGCGTGCAGACCCTTCTCCTTCCTCCTCCCCACCCTCATCCCCTCCTTCCTCCCGTAAACCAGCAGCAGTGGCAGCAAGAGCAGCAGCAGCAGCAGCAACCCCATTAGCCGGATCCTCCACCTCTCCCTCTCCGCCCCCCCTCTCCTCTACCACTCCCACACCTCCTCCCGTCGCCACCGCCGCCGCCGCAGCCTCAGCCTGTAACGCGCAGTGAAACGCGTGCATCGTATCCTGAGACGTCTTCATATCCAGGAACATGCCCTCGAGTTTCGACGTAAACTGGTACCCACACTCAGTCTTAAGCTTCACAATAAAGCTCCGTTCCGCATCATCCGAAACCGTCTTCCCGGACAGCAGGCGCTTAGCTAAGTGCTGCTTGTAATACTTCTCAAACACGTCCTTTTCCTGCAGGAACCGGAACAGAGTCATGACCTTATCGAGCACCGCCTCGGCCTCCTCCTCGCTCGCCCCCTTGAGCCCCTTGCGCAGCTTGTCGTCGATGAAGAGAGAGATGTACTCGGCAGCGCGCGCGTTGAGGTTGAGGAAGAACTCAAAGGCCGTGGAGAGGGCCGTGTGGAAGGCCTTGTCTGAGGCGAAGGAGGCGGAGATGATTCGGTCGTACTTGTCCTTCTCCTCTAGCAGCCTCTGTACGAACTCGACTGGGTCCTTGCACCTGCATGAGGGAGGGGGAGAAGAGTGAGGAGTAGTACAGGAAGGGGCGGATATGCGGCAGCGCGAGCGTTAAGGTTGAGGAAGAACTCAAAGGCGGTGGAGAGGGCCGTGTGGAAGGCTTTATCAGAGGCGAATGAGGCCGAGATGATTCGGTCATATTTATCCTTCTCCTCCAGGAGGCGCTGCACGAACTCGACCGGGTCCTTGCACCTGAAGGGGTGAAGAGGGATGGGAAGGAGTGGGAAGGAGTGGAGTGTTACCAAGGGAGTGTGATTATGCGATCGTACTTGTCTTTCTCCTCTAGCAGGTGCTGCACAAACTTGACCGGGTCCTTGCACCTGGTGTGTTGGGAGGGGAGAGGCGGGGAGGAGAAAGGAGGAGAGCGGAGGAGGAAGACGAACGAGGCGGCTATGATGCGATCGTACTTGTCCTTTTCCTCCAGCAGGCGCTGAACAAACTCAACGGGGTCCTTGAACCTGAAGGAGTGAAGAGGGAGGGGTGGGGAGGTGTGGAACAGGGAGGGGCGGAATGAAGCAGAGATTATTCGATCGTACTTGTCCTTCTCCTCCAAGAGGCGCTGCACAAACTCCGTCCTTGCACCTGCATGAGGGGGGGGGGGGGGGGGTTTGAGGATGGGAAGAAATGGTTTGCAGCGAGGGCCCATGATAAAGGGATGACATTTATCTCACAGATTCCACACACACTCTATCTCGCACACCCTTCCACACACATTCTCTTTCTAACACTCACTAAAAAACGCTTTCTCACCCACCTGCATTCTCGCATGCGCACCTGTCAGGTCAGTCACAAGCTACCCACCCGTCTCCCTCAGATGCCCCGTCATCTCAACTCATCGCACATACACACATGGCAGGACACGTACAACCAACCCCACCCTCCCACTCACACACTCCTCGTAGGTGCGTTGATGATGCAATCACCACCACACATGTTGGGGTCAGTGACAAGCTGCCTGCCCATTTCCCTCAGGTGCCCCGACATCTCAACTCACAACACATCACCTCCCGCATTGTCTGCTACTCATCACATCACACTCCACCACACCTGTCCGGGTCAGTGACAAGCTGCCTGCCAGTCTCTCTCAGGTGCCCTGACATCACCTCCCGCATCGTCTGCACACACAAGCACACCCACTTACACCCACTTACACCCAGGATCGGTAACGAGCTGCCGGCCCGTCTCTCACAGGTGCCCCGACATCCCCTCCCGCATCGTCTGCACACACCCACTGCCCACCCCGCCCCACCCTCCCCACCACCACACCTGTCCGAGTCTGTGACAAGCTGCCGGCCCGTCTCTCTGAGGTGCCCCGACATCACCTCCCGCATCGTCTGCACACACAAGCACACCCACTTACACCCATTGCCAACACCCACCCTCACCCACTGCCATACCTGTCCGGGTCTGTGACCAGCTGCCTGCCCGTCTCCCTGAGGTGCCCCGACATCACCTCCCTCCTCCCACCCACACAACCACACCCACTCACACCCACCCCAACCCCTACCCTACCCTACCCTACCCCACCCCCCCCACCATCGTCATACCTGTCGGGATCAGTCACGAGCTGCCGGCCCGTCTCCCTCAGATGCCCCGACATCACCTCCCTCATCGTCTGCACACACAACCACACCCACTCACACCCACCCCAACCCCTACCCTACCCCCCACCGCCATACCTATCGGGGTCAGTCACAAGCTGCCTGCCCGTCTCTCTGAGGTGCCCCGACATCACCTCCCACATCGTCTGCGCACACAAGCACACCCACTTACACCCATTCACACCCAACCCCACCCCCCACCACCATACCTGTCCGGGTCAGTCACAAGCTGCCTGCCCGTCTCCCTCGGGTGCCCCGACATCACCTCCCGACATCACCTCCCGCATCCAGCACACAATCACACCCACTTACACCCACTCTCACCCACCCCCACGCCCCCCCCACCACCACACCTGTCCGGGTCAGTGACGAGCTCCCGGCCCGTCTCTCTCAGGTGCCCCGACATCACCTCCCGACATCACCTCCCGCATCCAGCACACAATCACACCCACTTACACCCACTCTCACCCACCCCCACGCCCCCCCCACCACCACACCTGTCAGGGTCAGTGACGAGCTCCCGGCCCGTCTCTCTGAGGTGCCCCGACATCACCTCAACACTTCACATTCGCACACAACCACACACACTTACACGGTTACAGCCATTGGCAACACCCACCCTCACCCACTGCCATACCTGTCAGGATCAGTCACCAGCTGCCTGCCCGTCTCTCTCAGGTGCCCCGACATCACCTCAGCACATCACATTCGCACACGGCCACTCAAGCACGGCCACAAACCCCCCTCACAACCCCCCACCGCCTTACCTGTCCGGATCAGTGACCAGCTGCCGGCCCGTCTCCCTCAAATGCCCCGACATCACCTCCCGCATCGTCTGCAGGCCACTTGGCACACGCTTCAGAAGGCGATACATGCGCGCAATGTCCTGATAGAGAGGGGAGGGGGCAGGGAGGACGGAAGGGAGCAATGGGGAATATTAGTTAGCTCACGGCGTCTCTCATCGTCTGCAGGCCACTCGGCACCCGCTTGAGCAGGCGGTACATGCGCGCAATGTCCTGAGAGGTGGGGTGGGGCCGGGCAGGGGGAAGGGTGGAGGGAAGCGGGGTTGAATGAAGGTTGGAAGGATGGTGGAATGCGTCACACAGCCCCCCCGGCACGCGCTTGAGCAGGCGATACATGCGTGCAATGTCCTGAGAGGTGGGGGGGGGGGAATGAGGAGGGGGAAGCAAGCAGGGGCAATGGGGACTGAAAGTCGGCTCACTGCCCCCATCACACCCCCCTTCCCGCATCGTCTGCAGCCCCCCCGGCACGCGCTTGAGCAGGCGATACATGCGGGCAATGTCCTGGTAAGGGGGGTGGAAAGGAATGGAAGGGGAGATACGGCTGTTGGCTCAGGTGCCCCCACATCACCTCCCCCATCACCTGTCTGCAGCCCCCCCGGCACGCGCTTGAGCAGACGGGCGGTACATGCGCGCAATGTCCTGGTAAGGGGGGTGGAAAGGAATGGAAGGGGAGATACGGCTGTTAGCTCAGGTGCCCCCACATCACCTCCCCCATCACCTGTCTGCAGCCCCCCCCACACCCGCTTCAGCAGGCGGTACATGCGCGCAATGTCCTGGTAAGGGGGGTGGAAAGGAATAGAAGGGGGGATACGGCTAATAGCTCAGGTGCCCTGACATCACCTCCCTCATTGGAGGGAGGTAGAGAAAGAAGGAAGGAGGGAGAGAAAAGAGGGAAGGAGGGAGGGAGAGAAAAGAGGGAAGGAGGGAGAGAAAAGAGGGAAGGAGGGAGGGAGAGAAAAGAGGGAAGGAGGGAGGGAGAGAAAGAGGGAAGGAGGGAGGGAGAGAAAAGAGGGAAGGAGGGAGGGAGAGAAAGAGGGAAGGAGGGAGGGAGAGAAAAGAGGGAAGGAGGGAGGGAGAGAAAGAGGGAAGGAGGGAGGGAGAGAAAGAGGGAAGGAGGGAGGGAGAGAAAGAGGGAAGGAGGGAGGGAGAGAAAGAGGGAAGGAGGGAGGGAGAGAAAGAGGGAAGGAGGGAGGGAGAGAAAGAGGGAAGGAGGGAGGGAGAGAAGAGGGAAGGAGGGAGGGAGAGAAAGAGGGAGGGAGAGAAAGAGAGAAGGAGGGAGGGAGAGAAAGAGGGAGGGAGAGAAAGAGGGAGGGAGAGAAAGAGGGAAGGAGGGAGGGAGAGAAAGAGGGAGGGAGAGAGTTGTCCATGTCAACAAGAAGCTGCAGGTGGTTGTGGTTCCCAGAAAGAGACAGGCAGAGACAGAAGAAGGACCAGGCTCCACACACGCACCTCGTACTTGTCGTTGACCAGCATGGGAACGAGCCCAGAGTTCTCCATATCATACCCACCAGCCTGAGGTGATTCCCCACCATCTCGTGCTCCACCCACTCAAGAGAAGGACAGGCAGAGAGAGTAGGGGGGGGAGAGCCCCACTCAACGCACCTCATACTTGGCATTGACCAGCATGGGCACGAGCCCAGAGTTCTCCATGTCAACGAGCAACCTGAGGTGATTCCCCACCATCTCATACAAGAGAGCTTCACACACACACGCACCTCGTACTTGTCGTTGACGAGCATGGGCACGAGCCCGGAGTTCTCCATATCCACGAGCAGCCTGAGGTGGTTCCCCACCATCTCATACAAGAGAGCTCCACACACACACGCACCTCGTACTTGTCGTTGACGAGCATGGGAACGAGCCCGGAATTCTCCATATCCACGAGCAGCCTCAGATGGTTCCCCACCATCTCGCGCTCCACCACGCCCGTCACCTTCCCCTCCGTGCGTGCATCCAGGTACTGCGCCACGCGCTCCCCCTCCTTTTACTACCCCCCACCCCCCCACCAGCAATGATACCCACCACCCCCACAGAAGCACCAGGAAGTAGGAAGGGAGGGAGGGAGGGGGAAAGCAATCCGTGTTCTCACCTCGTACTTGTCGTTCACGAGCATAGGCACCAAGCCAGAGTTCTCCATATCAACGAGTAGCCTGAGGTGATTCCCCACCATCTCCCTCTCCACCACACCCGTCACCTTCCCCTCCGTGCGCGCATCCAGGTACTGCGCCACGCGCTCCCCCTCCTTTTACTACCCCCCACCCCCCCACCAGCAATGATACCCACCACCCCCACAGAAGCACCAGGAAGTAGGAAGGGAGGGAGGGAGGGGGAAAGCAATCCGTGTTCTCACCTCGTACTTGTCGTTCACGAGCATAGGCACCAAGCCAGAGTTCTCCATATCAACGAGCAGCCTGAGGTGATTCCCCACCATCTCCCTCTCCACCACACCCGTCACCTTCCCCTCCGTGCGCGCATCCAGGTACTGCGCCACGCGCTCCCCCTCCTTTTACTACCCCCCACCCCCCCACCAGCAATGATACCCACCACCCCCACAGAAGCACCAGGAAGTAGGAAGGGAGGGAGGGAGGGGGAAAGCAATCCGTGTTCTCACCTCGTACTTGTCGTTCACGAGCATAGGCACCAAGCCAGAGTTCTCCATATCAACGAGCAGCCTGAGGTGATTCCCCACCATCTCCCTCTCCACCACACCCGTCACCTTCCCCTCCGTGCGCGCATCCAGGTACTGCGCCACGCGCTCCCCCTCCTTTTACTACCCCCCACCCCCCCACCAGCAATGATACCCACCACCCCCACAGAAGCACCAGGAAGTAGGAAGGGAGGGAGGGAGGGAGGGAGAAAGCAATCCGTGTTCTCACCTCGTACTTGTCGTTCACAAGCATAGGCACCAAGCCTGAGTTCTCCATATCCACCAGCAGCCTGAGGTGATTCCCCACCATCTCCCTCTCCACCACACCCGTCACCTTCCCCTCCGTGCGCGCATCCAGGTACTGCGCCACGCGCTCCCCCTCCTTTTACTACCCCCCACCCCCCCACCAGCAATGATACCCACCACCCCCACAGAAGCACCAGGAAGTAGGGAGGGAGGGAGGGGGAAAGCAATCCGTCTTCTCACCTCGTACTTGTCGTTCACGAGCATAGGCACCAAGCCAGAGTTCTCCATATCAACGAGCAGCCTGAGGTGATTCCCCACCATCTCCCTCTCCACCACACCCGTCACCTTCCCCTCCGTGCGCGCATCCAGGTACTGCGCCACGCGCTCCCCCTCCTTTTACTACCCCCCACCCCCCCACCAGCAATGATACCCACCACCCCCACAGAAGCACCAGGAAGTAGGAAGGGAGGGAGGGAGGGGGAAAGCAATCCGTGTTCTCACCTCGTACTTGTCGTTCACGAGCATAGGCACCAAGCCAGAGTTCTCCATATCAACGAGCAGCCTGAGGTGATTCCCCACCATCTCCCTCTCCACCACACCCGTCACCTTCCCCTCCGTGCGCGCATCCAGGTACTGCGCCACGCGCTCCCCCTCCTTTTACTACCCCCCACCCCCCCACCAGCAATGATACCCACCACCCCCACAGAAGCACCAGGAAGTAGGAAGGGAGGGAGGGAGGGGGAAAGCAATCCGTCTTCTCACCTCGTACTTGTCGTTCACAAGCATAGGCACCAAGCCTGAGTTCTCCATATCAACGAGCAGCCTGAGGTGATTCCCCACCATCTCCCTCTCCACCACACCCGTCACCTTCCCCTCCGTGCGCGCATCCAGGTACTGCGCCACGCGCTCCCCCTCCTTTTACTACCCCCCACCCCCCCACCAGCAATGATACCCACCACCCCCACAGAAGCACCAGGAAGTAGGAAGGGAGGGAGGGAGGGGGAAAGCAATCCGTCTTCTCACCTCGTACTTGTCGTTCACGAGCATAGGCACCAAGCCAGAGTTCTCCATATCAACGAGTAGCCTGAGGTGATTCCCCACCATCTCCCTCTCCACCACGCCCGTCACCTTCCCCTCCGTGCGCGCATCCAGGTACTGCGCCACGCGCTCCCCCTCCTTTTACTACCCCCCACCCCCCCACCAGCAATGATACCCCCCACCCCCACAGAAGCACCAGGAAGTAGGGAGGGAGGGAGGGGGAAAGCAATCCGTCTTCTCACCTCGTATTTGTCGTTCACAAGCATAGGCACCAAGCCTGAGTTCTCCATATCGACCAGCAGCTTCAGGTGGTTCCCCACCATCTCGCGCTCCACCACGCCCGTCACCTTCCCCTCCGTGCGCGCATCTAAGTACTGCGCCACGCGCTCCCCCTCCTCCTCCAACCGCCTCTCCGCCACCCTCAAATAATCCGCGCAATCACACGTCCCCAGATACCTCTGAGCCTCCCCCCGGTAAAATGCCGCGGAGGCTTCCAGAAACGGACGCTCCAGATCCTCCGAATAGACCGCCGGGCCGAGATCCGCGAACATGGACGATATGGATCGCATGAGGGCGCGGTTGATCACTTCGCCCGAGCGCTCTTGGTGGATGAGGGAGAGGAGGGTGGAGAGGAGGCGCGGGCGGATGGCGGGGGCGCGCACGATGTGGTCGCGCCAGAGGGCGAGGCCGAGGTCGTGCACAGGTGTCTTGTTGTGATTGGTCACGTAGGTGCGGTCCATGTACATGAGGATGTCTCGGATCATCTGAAGAGACTTGCCGTAGTCGTGCCACCTGGGGGTGAGAGGGGGGGGATTGGGAAGAGGGGACGGGGAAATAGGGAAAGAGAGGTAAGACATGGCAGCAGCATTGGCCACCTGGGTAAGTGTGGTCCATGTACATGAGGATGTCTCGGATCACCTGGAGAGATTTCCCGTAGTCATGCCACCTGCAAGCGGAGGAGGGAGGGAAGAGGGACAGGAGAAGGGAGGCAACAGGGGAGAACATAGCAGGAGTGGGCATGTGGTTCGGTCCATGTACATTAGGATGTCTCGGACCATCTGGAGGGACTTGCTGTAGTCGTGCCACCTGGGGGGAGAAAAAGAGAGAGGGTGGGGGAGGAGAGGTGTGGAGTGGAGAGAGGGGAGTAGGGGAGGGAGAGAGGGGAGAGCAAATGGCAGAATTGGTCACATCACAATTGGGAACATGAGCAGCATTAACAGCATTGGCCATAAGGGTGGGTGCGGGCCATGTACATGCGTATGTCTCGGATCATCTAAATAGAGGTACAGGACGAGGCTAGGGTATGTGTGAGCATCGCAGCTGTCAAACCAACCCACCAGGATGAAGCATGCACGCACCAGCGCACACCTGAACAGAGCAGCACCAGCACCCACGCACCTCATTCTCCTCGTATTACCACCTACCTCTATCTAACCCCGCACCTCTATAGAAACCCACCTGGCATCCAGCTCGTTGAGGAACAGCGGGCCGTGCGCCGCCTCTATGGCCGCCGCCACGCCCTTGAGGTGCGCCGTCATGGTTTAGGCTCACCAGCCCCTCATAGAGGCGACGGGCATCACACTCATGCACACATCACACTCATGCACACATCACACTCATTCTCCACCTCATTTCCCTCACCTGGCGTCCAGCTCGTTGAGGAAGAGAGGCCCATGGGCGGCCTCAATAGCAGCCGCCACGCCCTTGCGGTGCGCCGTCATGTCATGGTGCTCACCAGCCCTGCATATAGGCGAGAGCCTAACAACCAGACAGCCTGCTGTGTCACCTTGCATCACACACAGTCTCCTCTCTCACTCTCCCCTCACCTCGCATCGAGTTCGTTGAGGAACAGCGGCCCATGCGCGGCCTCAATGGCAGCAGCGACGCCCTTAAGATGTGCCGTCGTGGTGCTCACCAGCCCCACCGTTTGCCATGTCACCACCACCCATTGTTGCCCCCTCACCTGGCATCCAGCTCGTTGAGGAACAGCGGCCCATGCGCCGCCTCAATAGCAGCAGCCACGCCCTTAAGATGCGCCGTCGTGGTGCTCACCAGCCCTGCATATAGGCGAGAGCCTAACCACCAGACAGCCTGCTGCGTCACCTCTCACCACCTCACGTGCCCCCCTCACCTCGCATCCAGCTCGTTGAGGAACAGTGGCCCATGCGCCGCCTCAAAAGCAGCAGCCACGCCCTTAAGATGCGCCGTCATGGTGCTCACCAGCCCTGCGTACAGGCGAGAGCCTAACCACCTGACAGCCTGCTGTAGCACCACCCCTTACCTGGCGTCTCAAGCTCACTCCGCACCCACCTGGCGTCCAGCTCGTTGAGAAAAAGCGGGCCGTGCGCCGCCTCTATGGCAGCAGCCACGCCCTTGAGGTGCGCCGTCATGGTGCTCACCAGCCCCGCGTACAGGAGGGCCTAACCCACCTCACAGCCTGCTGTGTCACCACCCCTTACCTCGCGTCACACCCTCACACCCACCTGGCATCCAGCTCGTTGAGGAACAGCGGCCCATGGGCGGCCTCTATAGCAGGCGCCACGCCCTTGAGGTGCGCTGTCATGTCATGGCGCTCACCAGCCCTGCATAAAGAGAGGCAGGCCTGCCAAACCGCCTGCTGTCTCACCTCGCATCACTCTCTATCCCCCCCTCACCTCGCATCCAGCTCGTTGAGGAACAGAGGACCATGGGCGGCCTCTATAGCCGCCGCCACGCCCTTGAGGTGCGCCGTCATGGTGCTCACCAGCCCCGCGTACAGGCGGTCACCGTACTTATGGAGTACCATGTTGTACGCGTTGCTGTGACACAGGGGGGAGACAGAGGGAGGAACAGCGGAAAGACACGCTTAGCACGGCCACCACCAGCCCCGCGTACAGGCGGTCACCGTACTTGTGCAGTGCAGCACCATGTTGTGCGCGTTGCTGGTTGGCGGGGGAAACATAGATGGGTAAACACAGAGAGGGAGGGAAAGACAGCCGTGAGTGCAGCAACCAGACCAGCCCCGCGTACAGGCGGTCACCGTACTTGTGCAGTGCAGCACCATGTTGTGCGCGTTGCTGTGAGTGGGAACGGGAGACGGACAAAGGGAGAGAGAGGAGGTAGACACTGTTAGCGCCGCAACCACCAGCCCCGCGTACAGGCGGTCGCCGTACTTGTGCAGTGCAGCACCATGTTGTGCGCGTTGCTGCAAGGTGGGCGGGAAGGCACGGCGGGTGACAGGATACAGAGAAAGACACGCTTAGCACGGCCACCACCAGCCCTGCGTACAGGCGGCCGCCGTACTTATGCAGCACCATGTTGTATGGATGGGGGATGGGGGTAGTGGTGGCGGAAGAGACAAAGTTGGAGAGAGGAGGTAGACACTGTTAGCACGGCCACCACCAGCCCCGCGTACAGGCGGCCGCCGTACTTATGCAGCACCATGTTGTATGCGTTGCTGTGAGGGGGAGAAAAATGAAAGAGAGAGATAACGGGAGGGGAGAGAGAAAGAGAGAGTACTTAGCGTGGCGTAGAGCTCTTCGAAACTGTCAGGGTGAAAGAGAAGATAACGGGAGGGGAGAGAGAAAGAGAAGATAACGGGAGGGGAGAGAGAAAGAGAAGATAACGGGAGGGGAGAGAGAAAGAGAGAGAAAGAGAGAGTACTTAGCGTGGCGTAGAGCTCTTCGAAACTGAGGAGGCTGCACGTAACGGTGGAGCTCTGGGAAGGGTGAATTGTCAGATGCGAGGAGCCAGGGAGGCAGGGCGGAAGAAGGCGCGTACCGGTAGAGCTCTTCGAAGCTGAGGCCGGAAACAGTGTGGCTGTAGACCGGCGAATGGCGTCCTCGGGAATGCCGCACGACGAGGGAGGGAGGGCGCTCTAACGAGGGCGACACAGGGAGGCCACATGTACCGGTAGAGCTCTTCGAAGCTGAGCCCCGAGGCGTTGTGGTTGTAGATGCGGGGGATGGCGTCCTCGAGAATGCCGCACGCCGAGGGAGGGAGAAAGAGAGGGAGGAGGCACCGCAACAAGGAAGGAAGGCGGCACCTCGAGAAGGAGGGAGGGCGTACCTCTAACGAAGGCGTTCCTCTAACGAGGGCGTACCGGTAGAGCTCTTCGAAGCTGAGCCCCGAGGCGTTGTGGTTGTAGATGCGGTGGATGCGGTCTCGAGATTCTCGAGTTGGGAATGCCGCACGTCGAGGAAGGGAGCAACGGAGGGAGGGACGAGGCACCTCTAGAAGGATAAAAGGCGTACCGGTAGAGCTCCTCGAAGCTGAGCCCCGAGGCGTTGTGGTTGTAGATCTGGTGGATGGCGTCCTCGAGAATGCCCCACGTCTTCTCCGCGTATCGCGGGTCCATCTCCACCTTGTGCCGAAACGGCTCGATGCGGAACGCCGACTTGCGACGCGGCTGATTCATGGCGGGCGACTCGGGGAGGAGGAGGGGGACGAGGATGTGGGGTTGGCGATGGTTATGGCGGAGGTGATGACGATGCGGTTGAGAACGGTGGAGATGTCAATTCACGGTGTATCTGCCAGGAGGGTGGTTGTTTGAGCCGATTCAGGGAGGCGAAGACGGTGGCTTCTCCGCACGATGGTGTTGCTCGCACTTATTATCTCGACAGGCACACGAATTTCAGTTATGCGTGGATAAGACGTGGACTATGCTGATGTGTGACTACGCTACGCCCTTGCCAGTGACGGCAGCAGAAAACACCACGAAAACCAGAACTCCGAACCCTCCTTTTGCGTTCCTACGCGCCTATGTCACGGGTGAAACGAAATCGAGTTCCTACTTTTATTCGTACAGCCTTCAACCTGCTTTCATGGATGCAGTTTTCACTCCGCCTTCATTGTTCAGGCTTACGGAGGCGCGGCGGTTAGGATAGGAAAGGGAACAGCAATAACAAGGAGGTCAGAAGTCACTAAGTGCTTGCTGTGATGCTGGGATTAGCAAACGTGATGTGAAGCAGACGCCATGGCTGACAGGTACTGATGAAAGGATGTTAGTTTGATGTGCTGCAAAGCAGTGTCGTTCTTGCATAGAAACGGTTGGGCACGATGCTGTGCAATTTGGAGAGTTTCTATAGAATCACCGACTTGAACCGCTTATAACCTGGCCGAACTTCGATGCATGACCTGTAAACAAGCCCTCATCACTGCCTCTGCCTCTGACGTGAAGGGTTGGCTTGGCTCGGTTCAAGAGCAGGGGCTTGATGTTGCTCAAAGCGCTGGATGCAGTGACGAGGATGTGGTGAAGGCTATCATTCTACAGTGAATGGAGTCGAATGTGTTAGAGGATCTGGAAATCTTATAGCATATTTCAAACCAGCAAACCAGAAGTCTTGAATATCTCAAACCAGCAATATATCATTCGAAATTTATTTATATTTTCAACTCTTGGATTAAAAAATTTCTTGGTTATAATATTCACATAAATGAGACAATACCATATGTTAAACAATCTGCGTCCACATTTTAACCCAAATAATATTTTTTCATCCGTATCTTAATCATTCCTCCAACCTGACGTGGTGAAATGCTGTTTGTAGAAATTCATGAATAGTGGAACTGGTAGGTTGTGAACATGGTTTATGAGCTTAAGAAGGGAGGGTTAAATAGTGATCACATGAATACGTAAGGAGGTTGCTCATAGGCGAGGCAATCGGGCCGATGGAGCAACGCCCTCCAGAACCAGACCGACACGCATGGTTGGTTGCATAGTGATGACACGCGGATTCGTATCATTGGCGGATACACCTCTTTCCAGGTGGCACGTTCCTTGTGGACAGTAGTTGACTCTCCCGTGTGAGTGAGAGCAGCGGAACGTGGGAACCAGCACACAGATGTGAGAAAATGTTTAGTGTTGAATGGGGGATACAGTATCTCGCATTACGAGCACTGTAAGCACCCAAATGCATGTCGTTTTTAGGAAACATGCGGACAAGTGTTGCTGAAAACAGGGTAATATCAACCGCAAAGAAATATTTCAGTACGGTCACCTGTGTAGAAAGAAGCGCGAAATCTGTGGGTTCAAGGCACGCGCTGAGCCCCAACTCTCCGCGTCGCAGTCACGACTCCTCATATCCATGCTGGCACAACGTCAGAGCGAGAAAGCACCAGGAAAGCACATTGTGGTCAGCAAACCAGTCTACTTGTCCTGCGTGGCACCGTTGAAGGTTACCACAGTGTGCTGAACGGTTGACGATGATGCTTTCCTGATTATGCAATGGTGGAGATCATGTCTCGGCGAATATCCCATACCCCTCCGATGCCCGAAACTCCTGCCCAATGAAAAAAGCAAACACTCCATTGCTTTTTCTCGAGCGTCGTCCCAGATCCATGCATCATCCAGCATGGATAACAGCGATTCCTGACACGCCACGTAGGACCTAAATCAGCGCCAACCGCCCTCAGTCACCTGTCAATATTGAGCAACCACTCACACACCTCCGAAGGCAGCGCGAACTGCCCAAAAACGCTTTCCCGCACCAGCCATGTCATGCGCTTGGCCTTTGCGTCCCCCATGATGGGGTCCGACCAACCAACTTCTTCCATCGGAAACTCCGTTGTGGGTTCAATTCCACATCGGCGGAAGATGTCTCCCTGAACCAGAGCGAATGTAGAGCGGAGCGCATCATTCTTCCCCAACCACCTCCCCCAAGCCTGCCTGGTGTATTTTGCCTTGCTGTCCGCGCAATCGCCGGAAGCGGATAGAGTAAATGGGGTGGGGGGAAAGTGAAAGGGGCGGGGAGGGGAGGGGAGGAAGGAAGGCGGCGCTGCTGAGCTGCCCGCAAATCTCAGTTCCGCTGGCTGAACAGCACCTGCATCAGGCGGACAAGCAAGCACACTCCTTTTTGCTAGTCCTTGGGAGCACTGGTCATCCGACTCGCACGACCCCAGGAAACAGGAGCCAGTGAGGATAGAAGTTATTTAGCTTGAAGGAGTTCGCTTTGTTGGGAGAGTCCTTGGCATCTTGTAGGTAGGAGGAATCTGCTAGTGTCTGCCTTGGCTGCTGGGGTCGTCGTGAGTGGGTTATGCTTCAGAGGTAGTTCCATGCGCCTTACTATTTCAGCGGTTTAATATATTTGTTAACGCGATTCATCATGGCTGTACGGCTTTCCTTTTAGTGACTTCTTTAATATTTAACCTTAATATTGAAGTTAAAACATCCTCGCCTTCGCCTGTAAATCAGCGCGCTGTCATTGTCGTTACCTTAGTATTGACTTACATAATTTCTTATAAATAAAGACTCTAAGGCACCCGTTATCATTAATTTTACGTCATACACCACTTCCGATTAAAGGCTTAATGAGTAACGGTCCTATTCTAGCTGGATCTCCCAATAAAAGCTGCTCCCGCGATTCCCGGAGCAGCGACGGAGTCGGCGCTGATGTGAGCAGCAGGAGCAGCAGTACCAGCGCCTCTCCTGTTGTCAAATCCGCCATTCCTCCAGCGAACGCATCGAAATCTTCTTCGTTCTTTGACACCACACCACCTGCTACCCTTTCTGACACGCCTCCCCCTTCCCGCTCTTTCTTAAGCTTGCTGCCTTTCGCGTCCCTGGGTTCCAAGCGCCTTCAGCAGCAGCAGCAGCAGCAGCCGTCGTCTCGTGCCGGCGTGTCAGCAGTGGGAGGCTCGCTGCTTGAGTTGCTCGACGAAGGATGGTTCTCCAGCAATGTCGCCGCTTGGCCCCACGATTCCGATTTAACCACAATCCAGGAAGCGGTTAACGAGACAGAGGATGCTGATAACGGGGATGCGCTTCCAGGGGTCACTGAAACGGGGAGGGTTGCTTGTGCGCACGTGGATTTAAACGCTCCGAGTTCCGCCAGCAACTTCCGCGAAGGCGCAGGTGGTGCGGCAGCGGAGTGTGCTTGCGCGGCGGCTGATGACCGAATCAGCGGGGGTGCTTCGGCTGTGTCCGAACCAAGCGGTTGTTCCAGGTCTGGCAGTCCCGAGCCTGACCCTGAAGGCAGCTTCGGAAAGTACCGGCGCCGTCGCGGCCGTTCGGGAAGCAGGCGGCGACCGAAGCGAAGCAGCAGCCTCGACGCGGCGCGCATGTCAAGACGCGTGTCGATGCCTCCGCATCCTCCGCTTCCGACGGACGAAGAACAGCGGGATTCAATAGAGACGCGAAGCAGCGACGGCGAATGCTACGAGCGCACTACCTCCCCTTACGCTTCGTCCGGGCGGGGGGCGTACGCGGAGAGGCGGGGGAGCGGTGGGGAGCATTTCTCGGCGTTTCACCCATCTCCCCCTTTCCGCTGGTCAGAGCGAGGTACGGGGGCGGCGGAAACGGAGAATGCGGCTTGCGGAAGCAGAAGCGCGGGGAAACCGCGGTATCTGCGCACGCGGAGTGTGTCCGATTATGACTCGGCGGAGTACGAGCGCAACAGCTCGCTGCGCCAAGGCGCATATGAGGCGGAAGCGGACGCAGAGGGGGGAGATGGGCTCCCCTTGACGCCCTCCGCGCGTGCAAGAAGCCTGACAGAGGCTGACGTGGAGGAGCTCCGGGGGTTCATGGATCTGGGATTCAACTTCCGCCAGGCGGACATGAGCGCGCGCATGACCGCCACGCTGCCCGCGCTGCGCCTGTATCACGCCGTGGGGAGCGTTCAGCAGAGACTCATCTCCCGCCACCATCACCACGTCGCTCCCGCTACAACCTCTCCTGCTACAGATGCGGATGGGGCTGCTGCAACCCTGTATCCCGGCGGGTTGTCGCCTGGTGGTGCGGGGGCTGCTGCTGGTGGTGCTGCCGCGGGCAGCAGCGTGGCAGTGGGGGTTGGCAGCGGTACCTCGTCGCCACGGATCTCGTGCTTCCCTGGGGACCCGTTCGTTATCGCTCGCTCGGCTGAACCCCATGCCATGGTACGGCCGCTAGCCTGAATGGCTTACGCCTCGCATTCATGGGCTGTCGTTTGTTTTGCCTAGTTTTGTTCGATGGTTTATCTGACTAATCATCCCCAGCTTTTTTCCCCTCCTTCCTCCCTCTCCTCCCGCATTCCCCCCATTTCTCATCCCCAGCAGCAGCGAGGCAGCTCCATGCCATCGTCCCCACGCCACATCCCATCTCTCATCAGCACCACCACCAGCACTACCTGCGTCAGGAGCCATAGCCATGGGCATAGTCCAGAGCATGAGCAGCAGCGGCAGGGGCAGAGGGGGGTGAGTGGCAGCCTGGATGCGGAGTGGTCGTTTGCCAACCCACAAGACCCCCCCTCGGATGTCAAGACACACCTCAGGCTCTGGGCTCAGGCCGTTGCCAGCACCGTCAGACAGACGTGCTAACCGCCGTGCTGTGCTGCGCTTGCTGCTTTTGAAGCGCTTCGATGGTCGTTTGCCAACCCGCAGAACCCCCCCTGGGACGTCAAGACGCACCTCAGGCTCTGGGCTCAGGCCGTTGCCAGCACTGTC